GGATTACTTGGCCAAATGCAGATCCAAAACTGTTGTGAAAAGTTTAGTTTGGGTGTAGCAGGGAGAGTCTTGCATAGATCTTATTTAATATACTCACCCAGTCTTTAAAACTCATCACAATATCGACAACAGAAAATGAAGGGAATGGATCACTATAGGATCAAATGGAAACATCCAAGAGCTGCCCATGATACTTGTGCAATCATTCTCTCTGCACAGCAAACATAATCACTAAATATCTGAGCTAGAGAAAAAATGCATTTCCCCTAATCAAAATAGTTACATTTTGAGTGTTTGAAATAACTCCAGAAAGTGGAGTCTCAGAGGAAGACAGCACAAAAGAAACATATTTCTCATATAACGTCATGCAAAAATTCAAATTAAAGCAGTCCCCGATGGCAAGTTTACAATTAAATTGTACGTAAAAGCCCTGAATAGCACAGAAAGCCCTGCTCAATTGTGTTGTCAATTAGAAGAGACACGTTATAAGCCATGCACTGTTGTCTTAAAATAGCTCAGCTTCTAAGACTTAGCTTTGTTTATATACAGAATGTATAGGCTTACTTAACCTGGTACCCTGCAGATGTGTTGGATTACAACTCCCATCATCCTCAGCTGCATGGCCTCTGGTTAGGAATTCTGGGAGTTGTAATCAAAAACATGTACTCAGATCACAATGCTGTGTAATAGAAAAATGTGCTTTCTTTCTGCCTCGTGCCAACAACTGTGATTACAAATAGACAACTGGAAGCATTTTTGCTTCATCCTTGAAAGAACAGTTGTTTTGTTGGTACAGATTCCTACTCTCCACCTCTGTGGTGTGTACTAAAAGGTTTAAAAACAGCAAAACAGGCTCACCAGATCTCTATTCAATAGCAAGCTGCATGGGTTCCAGAGACAGAAAATACAATATTGCTGGCACTGGAGGGAGCTAAAGTGTAACAGTCCAACACTCTATGTGTGTATTCAGAATAAGTCCTACCATGTTTAAGTATGCAATTAAGATTGCAGCTTTAAACAGATTGGTCAAAGGCTTTGCAAATTCTGGACTGGCCCCTATTCATTTGCAGGCTGCTAGAAGGACAGCCTAGTTCCTTTGGACAGTTCCTTTACTTTGGGAAGCAGCAGCTTCCTTTGAATTTTTGGAATGGCTTTGTGTATAAAAGGGTGCAACATTTGCTCTTGATAAGATAACAAATGTCTTTTCGTGAGAAGGTATAAGTTGAAATAGCACAACAAACATTCCTCGTGTAATAAAGATTTTTATCACTGACAGGTGCAGTTTACTCAAATACCAGAATCCAAGGACAAATCCCTGTTTGACTTTTTCTAAGGGCATGGTATCCCCCATACCCCACTAAAAAAAAGTTTCAAATACTGGGCATTTATTTAATCCACCTATGTTCTGTCGTTCCAGTTAAATTGCCCAAGATGTTTTGCATTATAATTGTGGTATAGAACTACTTCTTGGGACATCTTACATCTTATATTTAACAAAAAATCCATAAAGCAACCCAAAATCTTAGACCAAAAAAACAAAAACAAAAACCAGAAATAAAATTAATGGTGAACCCAAACCAGGAAAGTGCAAAACTATACACTGGTCCTTAAGGTGAAGCAGAACAGGAGCAGTACTATAATGGATGGATTTAAGATGCAATGAACTGGAAATCTGAGGGAAAGTATTCATAGATTCACTGTGGGTAGAAAGGTTTAAGGCTGTGGTACAGACCCACAGCAAGGCAGATGGGGAAGGCCCATCCATGCACATCACAGCCAATCAGAGAGAGCACTGGACTGGCCAATAGCCCGCCTCTTACAAGAACTAGCCAGCTCTTTGAACCCATCCCTCTCCTCCCTGCTCTTTTGCACCACAGGACCACTCAGCTTAGCAGTATCACAGCAGCCTTCATTTCTCTTCATCCCAGGTTGGCTGGTTTATACACCCTAGCAGTGGTGCAGTGGCACCCATCCCACTGGGGCACCTGAGAATCTTGCCTTCCCAAAGCCCAGTAAATCTGAGTGAGCAGAGAGAGACGTTTGCAAGGCTGCAAGAACCTACCTGGGATAAGTGGTGAGCTGCTCCACAGAAGAACAGATGGAAGAACCTGGATTACTGATGTTCATTATGCTTTGTGCCCTATGGGGCAGCTCATGCTGGACCTTGGGACCAAAGTCCAGAGCCCCACAACCCGGGAGTGCTCTTCCAAGTAATCACCCAGAGAGTGGCATGGGATGAGGGTCTCGGTGTAGCAGAAGCAAACCCCACTTGATTGCAGTAGTCATGATGATGAACTGAAGATTTAAGTGAACCTAAAATATCTTCCTTTCAGTGTTGGCAAACATTCGAACAAGTCAGGCCTGTGGAAGCACTTGTAAAGCCTGGGGAGGGGCGTGAGGTGATGATTATGGTGGTGAAGAAGAGGAAGAATTGGATAAATGTCAGTTGTGTGCTTGGCAACTGAAGTAATATGTATTATGTAGGGGATTTTATACAACCAGAATGTCTAGTATTACCTAGTTGCTGCTGTTGCCGTTATTACATTGCATCTCTATCTTGCCTTTTTTCCTCTTGCAAGGAACACAAGGCAGCTCACATGCTCTGCCTCTTCTCCTTTTTATCCTCACAATAATCCTGTGAGGTAGGTCAGGCTGAGATAAAGTGACTAACCCTAAGTCACCCAATGAGCTTCACGGTCAAAGAGGGACTGGAACCCAGTTCTAAGCTCTAAACCACCATGCCACACCAGCTTTCAATACACAGCAGTTGGAACATATGGTCCCTGAATGGGGGCTTCCAGTGGGTTTTTGTACGGGAGGGAGAGAGAAGAGGGAATGGTGCCACATAGGGGCGGCTGCCGTGACTAAGCTGTAGGGTCTTCCAAAGCTTGATATAAGGACCAAAAACATTTGGGAGGCTAGATTAAGCACTCGAGTAGACAAGTTTCTGGATAAAGAAAAGTCACTAAAGATGGTGAGGTCCTATGGCAGACTCTGAAGAGTTCTAGGAGAATCTTTTTAAATGGATGAGAAAATTGCAAGAGTTTTTATGTAAGTAAATGGAAAGGAAAATGTGACTGCAATAGAATGGATTTTGGGGCCATGGCTGACAGGGCAGTGTCAGTGAAAAAGGAAAACTCACGTTGGGGAATTACTAAGGTAGGGATCATCATAATGGCTTTATATTAGAATTAGCATAGTGTAATGATTAGAATATTAGACTGGGGACACTTGAGTTCTAGTCCCCACTTCCCATGAAGCTCACTGGGTGACTTTGGGCCAATCAGTGATTTTTAGCACAACCTACCTCACAGGGTTGTTGTGATGGTAAAATAGAGAGGCAGAAGAAGATCACATATGCCCCCTGAGCACCTTGGAGAAAAATGCAGGCTATAAATGTAACAAATTAATAAATATAAATAGCAACCGCCTCTATATCCATATCTACATTTATGTACTAATTAAAAACCAATGGATTATATATATATATATATATATATATATATATATATATATATCGATTTATATCCTGCCTTTTTCCTACAAAGGGCTCAAGGCAGCTTACATCATTCTCCTTCTCCACAACAACAACCCTGTGAGGTAGGTTGGGCTGAGAGTCTGTGACTCATCACCCAGTTGGCTCCATGGCCAAGCGGGGACTTAAACCCAGATCACCTGAGTCCCAGTCCCATGCTCTTAACCACTATGCCATATATTTTACTATGCTATGGTATTTTATAAAGTTTTGTTTTGTGAACTGCCCAGACAGCTTTGGCTGATAATGTGTATACAAATGTAATAAATGTTTAAAATACTTTTAGGCTGCCTAAAAACACTGAAACACTGCAAAAGATATTTAAGAAGGAAATTAAAGTGATGAAGAGGCTGGAGCATCTCCCCTATGGGAAAAGATAAAAATGCTTCAGGATAACTATTTTATAGAGTAACACACCAGACTTGGGTGGTACGTACCCACCAGACGGCTGAGAAATAAGAGGGCAGTTTCAGTATACTTGGGAGGTTTGTAGAAATACTTTTTTTTAAAAGCAAAAGATAACTCGATAAGAATTAAGCACTGAAGAAGGAGAAGGAGCATCCATTTGGAAAGAATTGCAGGGGGCAGGATGGGCAAGGAAGGAAAGAATGGAATAACATGGAGGAAGGCAATGCCGGCCGGCCATCCTCCTGAATAGCAAGAACTCAGCCAGGAGGTAAGGATATACTACAACACTGTGCAGGTCCCATTTTATACAGTTATTATTACAAAAAAGCAGATATTAGTAAGGTCCACTTACTTCAGTGGGGCTTCCTCCCAGATAAGTGGATATAGAATCGCAGCCTCAGAACTTAGCGGGTGGGAGTGGGGGATCTCTAAGTAACAGCTTTCTGCACCAGACTGTATCATGCATGTATCATTCTTTTAGACCAATGATAAGTATTACTGAAATGTGTAAAAAACAAAAATCAGAAACCACTTTTTCAGCAAAACAAACTCTTCTAGAGCATGTGAGTAGAGGGGGATGAAAGTGGTGCTTCAGAGTCTTTTTTCCTAGTGCTTTTTTAAATGCAGGGTTGTTGAAAATCTAAATATTTTATAGCCTACTATAAAATAGCTCTTTATCTTTTCTCTCGACACATTCTGTGGTGTCATATTTGACCAAACTAGGAAACTACAGATAGTAGACGTGTTTGCAGACTAGATGTCGGGCAATAAATAAGATCAATTTCCCAAGCCAGCCAAAATAAAGATTCCTTATCATTGTTTAAACCTTTTGCTCTTTGTGATACCTGCTAATATTTTAACCCAAGGAAGTTAAGATACTGTCTTTTCTGCCCACCCACCCACCATAGAAGACACGGCTGTATTTATTTTTTTATCAGTTGTTACGTTATAAAAGAGCACATGGCACCTAAATTCATGCCATGGATCACAATTGCTTGGTACTATTCGGGAAGATGCAGCTGTTTTACACTATGCTCGTTTTGTTTCATCTTTGCAGGGCTGTAACTCCAGTGTGTCCACGAAAATGCAGCTGTGACCTAGCTCACTCAAGTGTGCACTGCTTCAGAGTAGGAGAAGTGCCTAAAGAGATTGCTTCTTCTATCCACAGAATCCACATCACTCACAGCAAGATCAAAAAACTCCAGGTAGGTTGCAATTATCATCAAGTAGGCTATATTTTCAGTGAGGTAGGCCAGATGAAAAAGAGAACAGGGCTATTACACATTTGATTGCTGTACAGAAGAGATAATTTTGGCAGGGAAAGCTTTGTTGTTAAAAGGGGAACGCCTTCTGCAGAAATCTCTGCTCTACACAATTCTTAAAAGATCAGGAGACCCGTTGTATGCATCTGGTCATGTCAAGGCTGCAGCTTTATGCATCCATGTGTGGGAAACCCAGTTCAAGTTTGCTTCTGAGAATTTAAAATGCATGAAAGAAGAACATACTCTCTGTACTTGATCCATCTGAAAACCACAATGGTTTTTCAAGTTTTACAGAACTCTCCCTCACCTCTCATTTTGAACAAAAAAGAAGGGTAGAGGAGGAAAAGTATGTGGAGGGGGGCCAATGAGAGTGGGGAATTGTGGTGGTGGAAGACAGGGTAGAACCTAGCTTGAAGACACATGATCCACATGTATGGCCTGATACTATGTGCACTAATGTGGAAATAAGCTCCACAGTCTTAAGCAACACGAGGCATATTGTTGTGTGTAGTTTCCTCTTTTTCAAAATTGAGAGTTGTCAGGCAAAAGCATGGAGATGCAATTGAATAAATCTTTTCTCATGCTTGCTACTCTTTTTGTGGACTGGATTCTACGCACACACTCACACTCACAATGATAAAGTAGAAATAATATGCTGTAACATGTCTTTCACTGTACATTGTCCTACTGTTAGTCCATTTAAGCCAGAAATGGTGAAATCCACAGACATATTTACAATTATCCTCTAGCCCTTCCATTTAGAGTCATTATTTAATCTGTTTATCTATAGATTTATAGATAGTATATGTACAGTGTTTTACTGGTTGTTTACTAATATAGGCAATGGAAAACTATTCCCTTTAGAGGGCAAAATATGGAAGTCAGATGTAAGTTATGAAAAGTTTGGTTGTTGAGAGTACAGGCATGCCAATCCCCTATACCTTGCCCCGGATCCAGCTAAACTTAGTTGATGCCTACAGAGCAATCCTACATGTGACTTCATCTCATTGAGTTCAAGTTGTACCCTGACTCACAGCTATAGCTGAAAGTTGCTTTTGGGTGCAAGGAAGAAAAACCCAAGTTCCATTGAAATCAAAAGATCTTTTCCTTTAAATATTTGCACGTAGCCCACTGACTTAAATATGTGAGACTAAGTCCAGCAGCACTGTGCACTAAAATGCAAATCAACATAAATCCAGTTTTGGATTAATTGCACTGTGGCTCAGATTATGTGGCTTCTAAAACTTCTATAGGCATTTCTGTACTCTGGGTACAATTTTCAGAGTTTTTAAATAAACTGGATTTCTATAAGCTCCCAATGGCATATCTATTTTCCATTAGCTCATAAGAAATAAATTCAGTTGATTTGAGCATGTATAAAGGAAACATTCACTGTACAAATTCATTGTATTGGTGCTGGTGATTTCCTGTGATAGGGTTGCCAAATGGCTAGGAAAAGCATTGCTGGGCTTGCTCTTGTGCATTTAATAGGTTTTGATATGCAAGTCAAGCTTTTCATCACAGTGAAGTATTACCACCTGCTAGTTGCAGGTAGCAGATCAAAATACGTTTAGAGGAGCAACTTCATTGTATGGCCAATTTGCTGGGCTTCACTTGTGTTTGTATTTGTTTACTACAAACCTCTATATGATGTAGTTCAGCATTTTATTACAGCATTTTTTGGATTTTGACTACACCACAGCAAGCAGTTTCTCAGTTGCAGTCTTTAATTAATTGTACAGTCTGATTTTAAATATATTTGTTCAGGAGTTCTACTGATATCAAGGTGAGTTACCCTCTACTGAGTGGGTGTAGAGTTTCAGCCATAACTGTTCCTTTAAATTAAATAAAAGATGAAAGAAATGGTTTTGGAGCAATATACAGAATTCCTGAAGTAACCTCTGCCATCATAGAAGAGTAATGCCTTTGTGGGGAGGAAGTGGGGTGCTATCATGTTGGATTAAAGAGGGTACCAGCCTGTACTGAGCCAGACTGTATAAGGGCTAGACTCTGGAACATAGGAATTAATAAAAGAGAGCCAGTAAAGTGAAGTGGTTAGAATGTTGGGTTGGGGCTTAGATAATCCCAAGTTTTCCTCCCACTTGGCCTTAAGCTCACTTAGTAACTGTGAACTAGTCACTGCCCTTAGGTCTAACCTACCTCATAAGTTTGCTGTTATGAATAAAAATAGACTGAAGGAAGACTATGTAAACTGCCTTGGGTTTCTTGAAAGAGGAAAATGTGGGTTTAACATGTAATAATAAGCATGTATGGTATGACCCATCTATATCAGAAGTACCTCCTACAGCTATAGGTGTAGGAAGGCCTCTTGGAACAGAGGTGTGATACTTAGACAGGGCTGAGCCCTAGGATGTCTCAGTGCTTACCTGGCATTTGCATTTGTTCCTTCAGATCAGCTATAGGCAAAGTTTGCTGCTTCAAATGCTGTGGCTCTTCCAGCAGCTGCAGCCCTAGTGGCCAGTGGTGATGAGTATTTGAATCCAACAACATCTGGGGGGACACGGTTGCCCATCTCCGCCTCAATGCATCAGGATAATATGTTGCCATGCACCCCCTTCCCGCTTCTCCCTTGCTCTACCTTTCTTGCTTACCTCTTGCAGCAAAACAAGAGTTCCACACCCAAAGCAAATTGGCAGGAACAAGAACAGATAAGATGGAGCAAGAGGAAGAAGACAGATTTGCCATGGGTTGCATATTGTCCCCACATATCCACTTCATTTATTTCCATTAAATTATATTGCTAGTTAGGCAAGGGCTCCCAAAGCAGTCTATATTTACAGTGTAGTTCAATTCACCTCTCCTTAGAAGTAAATCCCACTGAATTCAGCAGAACCTACTCCAATAAAAATAAGCATGAGATTAAAACTCTGAAGTCTTTAAGAATAGGCAGGATTTCTGCATGAAAAAGAGAAACCTGCTGAGTTTTTTATTTTAGAAATTAAACTTTGCTCATTCTATTTAGGGACTTTGAGGGCAAAACTCCACTACCTTTTAGCTCATTAAACAAATATTAGTTGCTTTTTGGTTCTCTGTTTTGCACAAGCTACACACACTCTAAGTGCAAGATCTATGAATGCTGCTATCCATGATTAAGAGTTGTCACACCACCACAGATGTTGAGCTTGCTCACAGGGTTTAATAAGAAGCCATAGCTGATCAGCCCCACTTCCACCCCCATTCTTTGTATCTCTGGGATATCTGGGGACAGGCCTTTAGACTGCAGCCAAAACTGATTTGAGTAGTCATAATATATGAGCCAGACCAGTAACTTTTCTTTTACAAACAAGTCTCTGTTTGCTCATTAGTGTAAAATATACCCTCAGTTTTGGGGGCAGGAAAAGTAGTATTTACATGTCATGGCTGGAAAGAAAAATGATGGTTCTTTATCAATGTAATTGACTATTCTGTCAAATCCTGATCTGACTGCAGTGGTAACACAAATTTGTCAAAGTCTTATTGTTCTTGTCAAGATCAATAAGACCTTGTTCCATCTACTGAAAACATATATGAGATTTGCCCTTAATAACTGTGAGGCAAGGTGATGCTGATCTTTTATTCTGCCAATTACAAAAGTGGGAAAATGTCCCTGAAATCAGTGATTAATTGCACAGTCCTTAGGTAGGTGTAATCAGAACTAAGTCCCAATGGTTCAGTAGAGTATTTCAGTAGAGTAGGTTAGTACATATAAGATCACAGTCCCATTGATCTTTGTATATGGTTACACTTTGTTTAACCATATACAAAGTGTTCCAGGATATCTTTGACCCATCTTCTAGAATGGAACTAGCTCCATCCCTACACTTGTTAGCCAGCTCAATTCTTTGCTGTTACTGAGGGCACAGACTGTTTTGATCTCAGTACTTGTAAGTCTTCAAAATCAGAGCCTTGTGGACATGCAATGCAGAGCAGAGGTCATCTTCACCTCCCTGCATCTTCTGCTGTGCTGAAAAACTAGCTAAGACACTTTAGATCAGGTGGAAAGGAGGCTGGAGCACTCTCAGGATACCTTGTATCCTGCCAGCCTCCTTGCTCTTCTCCCCTTCTGCACCCAAAATGCCTCTCCCCCCCCCCCCCCCACTTACTCAACTCTGCTTTTTTAGCCTTGGAAAAGCAGCTGGTGCTATTCTTTCAATACTGGCTGTAAGACAAAGAGGAGGATCAGAGCGCGGATCCTGAACTCCATGGTCAGAACTTGGTTTTTGACCTCATCTAGGAATCTAAAGTATCTAGCAGTTCCCCTTACTTGCTATCTAAGAGGGCCATGGGATCATTGATAGGCATGTCTTATGTTTTTGCACTAAGCCTTCTAGATCAGTGAACACAAGGTAATGGATATTAAGTTACAAATGAAATCTGCAACTAGCAGGTATTCCATGTTTCATGGATTAATTCTTTGCCATGCTTATAACTCAATTTAGTGTTTAGTCTTTTAGGGTTTTCTTCATCATTCAAATCCTTTTTCAAAAAAGAAAGTTGTATTCACCAGCTTCCATGTAATCAAACAGATACAAATGCAGGGGACTGTTTCCGGTACTGCTGCTGCACTGCTTCTGCTTTTATTGCGTGAGCTGGATCTACCTCCAGCACAATGGTAAATAGGCACGTCTGAAGGCAGCCCTGGAAACCAGTGGAAGCATTTGTTACTGGAATGGGACTGGTTGGTAGAACACCTTTCGGTGAGTTCTGCTGACCTGCCCCATTCTGGAAACAACCTTCGGCAACCTCCCTTCTTCCAAGGTCCACAATCTGTGTATAGACACCATTGGCCCATATTTGCAAATTGCCCATGATAAGCCTGCAATCAGATCCTACCCCCAGATCCTACTGTTTTAGTAAAGGGCTTACTGATAGTCTAAAAAACCAACAAGACATTGAAACAACAATTTATGAAGCCAATAATAAGCAAATATATTAGGCATGTTCATTGGCCTATCTGCTGTTTCATGAATAATACTCCATGTGCATGTTGAATTCTATATGTTCCTCATATTGATTCTAAAGAGAAGGAAGTCACTTTTCCTTTAGATGGGCCTTTGAGCCTGTCTAGACACAGTGCAGTACCAGAGGTGCTCGGATGCTGCTGGAGAAGCCGTAAGATTGTGCTTCTCCACTCCCTGCCCACCAGGATGTCCAATTTTCTGTATTTCCATAGCCATATTTGTAACCTCAGAAAGCAGCTGGTCTGATTCTTTCTGGGGTAGCTGCAGGGTAGCAAGCTATTGAACTAAAAGTTTTTTTCTTGAGGCCATAGCGGTGCTTATGACCTCAGGCATGGGGGGTCTGCACAATCCTATGTTCTCTGGGCTTATTCTAAATTAGTTTACTCCTGAGTAAGCATGTGTGACTAATTAGGATGCACGTCTGCAATCTTGCCCACTCATTCTTTAATATGTCCCACTGTGCTTAGTAAAATTTATTCCTATGTAACAACACAGTCCTATTTTCATCTTGAAGTAAATTGCATTGTTTTAAATGGCATTTATTTCAGTCATGCCTAGGACTGTGTTTTGTATATTCCATGCTAAGCCTCTAGAGAGCTCCAGTTCACCATGGAACATGCACTAAACCCAGTTTGGCTGGATTATATTCCTGGCTTGAAACTCGTACATAATTCCCATTCATGGTAATGGCATCTGAATGGATGGTGTTCCTGATTATGTCCATCCTATGGGTGTGGAAATTAGGTTAACTTTTACTGAATGTGTTTTGCCAAAAATAATTTGGCCTTGGGTTTTGTCCCTTAGATTGCTGATGTTCACAGAATGTCTGTCCTTGAAGAATTTATCTTGACTTGCAGTGGGACAGAATCGGTAGAGACCAACACTTTCAAAACTTTGGATGCTCTGAGAACCCTGGAACTCTGGAAAAATAAACTAAGGCGCATACCCACCTCACTCCCAGGAAACCTTGAAGTACTGAAACTTGGGAACAATTTGATAAGTGTTCTTCATGAATCTGATTTTGAGGGCTTAAGGAAATTAAGGGTACTTGATATCCAAAGCAATCTGGTCATAACTCTTTCATTTAGTACTTTTTCTGTCCTTAGCAGTTTACAGAGTTTGACATTAGATGGAAATAATATGGAATCTGTGTCCAGACCATTTCATCTTCCCAATCTAAAGTATCTTAGCATGGAGAATAATAAGCTGCAATCTTTTTCAGGAAGTTTTTTCACATTTTTTCACAATTTGCTATTTCTCAATTTAAATGGCAATTTATTGACAAACATTCCCGATCTGCCTAATTCTTTATTGTCATTGAAGTTAAACAGAAACCAACTAAAAATGCTAAAATTTGAAGACATGAAACAACTGGCAAACTTGTCAGAACTTTGCTTGTCTGAAAATCAGCTTTCATCAGTGGATGGCATGCAGTTTCTTTCCAGCTTAACTAGGTTGGAATTGTCTGGGAACAAACTCCAAATAATTCCAATTGGATTACCTGCCACACTACAGAAAATTGATTGCAGTAATAACTTAATTGAGATAATTAAAGTACAAGAATTTCAGGATCTACAGGGCCTCAAGCATTTGTTCCTTGATAACAATATGGTTACCACATTTGAAGATGGGGCACTTGAGAAATGCACACTTCTGTCCAATCTAGCACTGGAAAAAAATCAACTTACTTCTATTCCATTAAGGTAAGTAACTAAACTTAAGGTGACACAACTTAAGACAGAACTGGGTAGTGGAGGGGATTAAAGTAAACATTTATATTTCATGGACAAAATACTTTTACCTTATGTTGCAAGACTTAGAACCTAAGGGGGGAAGGAATAGGACAACTGCGGTGTACTCCCCTTCTTTGAGTCTAGAAAATTCTACTGCAAAATAATTAAATGGTTGGGATCCCTGCTAGCCAGTGTGGTATAGTGGCCATTGTTGGACTATGACTCAAGTGGGCAACTTTGTGGCCCTCTAGATGTTTTGGCTTACAGGTCGCCCGCATCAGACAGACTACTTCTAGCACTATGGATCAGAAAGACAACATTTATATATTAAAGATATATCCTGCCTTTTTTTAAATAACTTTTAAATATCATTCTGCATCTCTCCATCAACAACCCTGTGAGGTAGGTTGCAATTCTGCCATTTGCTCCTCTGCTTTTCAGGAAGGAAAATAGATGGAAGAAACAGTGGAAAATTGGCAGAATTACAGATGGAAGACAAAATTGTCATTATAAAATTCCATGAATGAGGCAAAGCAATTGTATGATAAAAGCCTCATCTGGAAGTACACCTGGGTCAAATTTCCATCAGCTATGAAGCTCATGGGGTGACCTTAAGAAAGTGACTATGTCTTGGCTTATGCTACCACAGAGGCTTGCTTTGAGGATAAAGGAAAGGGTGGCTGGAATGGTGTATGATGCATCTGGATCCTTGAATTGTGAGTGCCATATAAATACCATAATTGATATTTATTCAGAATCCACAAACATGTAATATATTTCAGCCTAGTGGCTGAACTGCTACCTTAAGTGTTTGATTTCTAAAAACCAACAATAGTGCCAGGACTTAAGGCTTTGTGGAAACCAATCCGTACTAAACCACCATGTTCTACAGAGGAGTTCTGACTGAAATTACACCCTACTGTGGTTTGGTCTGTGTGCAAGCTGTAGATCTAACTGGGTGGCATTAGCTGGGGGACAAATTAGTATTTCTCATCCTAATAACAGGGTTATTAGTAGGAAGAGATAAGTACTGCAAAGTACTTGAAATGCTTGAAGATGCTATAAACATAATAATGTGAATATATAATTTTCTTTTTTACTTGAGACTCCCGCATACACTAGCTAGACTGGATCTGAAAGGAAACAGCATACGAAGAATTGAAGAACAAGAACTGACAAACTTAATGCACCTGCAGGTTTTAAATCTACGGAACAACAAGATATCCACCCTAAATTACAGCCTCTTGAAATATTTGCCTCGTCTCAGGTACCTCTATCTGGATGGCAACCCATGGAATTGCACCTGTGATCTCCTCAGAACCAGAAGGGTGCTTATGGCCAAAGGAACAGATGTCAAAGGAGGACAGTGCAGCTCACCAGCAGAAAGCCAGGGTGAGAGCTGGATGTCTTCCAAAAGGATCCTACATTTGTGTGTACATAACAGTGCATATTCAGTTGAAGAGGGGAAGGAAATTGGAAAGAAGACCAATGCTGATGATCTCTCTAATCCCAGAGTAAACATGGATGATTATTATGATTATGAAATAGATTAAGCACATGCTTCCAATAAACTTCTATGGGTACCTTTCCTAGAATTTGGGTTAATTCAGCCCTCTCTAAGGCAGCACAGTCATTTTTCTTTCAGAGCACAATCCTAATTATGTTTAGATGGAAAAAAATTATAAATTTTACAACTTGTGCCCTTGGTCGACAAAATTCAATGCATGTCACTTTTGAACCTAGCGAAACCATTAGGCTTTGCAAAGCACATCTAAAACTGATCTTGTAATACTAGATTTAGAGGACTGGGCTGTAAAAATCTCCCTTTTTCACTGCTTAGGATGGGATGCATCTAATCCTATATTCATTCCCACATTTCTAGACAAGTCACATGTATTTTCTTACTGATAGCAATGAACTGTATACAAACAAGATACAGAATTAGTAGCCGAAAGGGTGGGTAGGTAGGTAAAATGGTATTATTTTTGAAATGAGATGGCATTTTGTTAGAAGGCAGTTTGCTATGAATATGAGATATGGGGAAAACACGATGCAAATATATAGAAATTAGTGCATAAATATTTTTTCCTCAAGTTTGTGTGTTGTCATTTTTTCAGTGCCCATTCCCTGCTGGTGAAAGTAACAATGCTCTATAGAACCTTTATAGGCTGCAATGAATAAATTGACAAACCACTCCATTGGTGGGTACACTGTGTGAATAGTTAATTAACTATAAACTCACGGGTGTTCCAGGAGGATAACAATAAAATCGAAATCCAAAATAAAATGTACATATAGTATTAAAGAATTAAATTTCACGATAGAACACTAAAAGGACAATCCTACGCCTGTGGCTGAGGCGTACTAGGAGTTATAGGTGTTTGTTCAGTCTAAACATGCATAGGATTGCACCCTTTTGAAAGCACCTAATTGAAAGCAATTTGTGCGACCTTAAAAAAGTAAGAGGCGAAGCCAGAGCGCCTGCGACAGCTTCTCGCACGTCCCGCCACTACACGGCGCTGCACCGGAGGGAAACACGTGCTAAGCACAGGAGGAAGCCGCCTGTGCGGGCGCCTGCGAGCTACGCTCCCTTTCCTCCCGCTACACACATTTCCTGGAGGGGCCACGTCATTCGCTCCAACAAACCCGGAAATGACACCGGCGACCGCGGCTCGGCCAATGGGCAGCTCTTGCGTAGGCTAGAGGGAAAAGGTCAGGGCCGGTATGGAGATGGCGGCGCTAACGGAGGTGGCCGAGCAGATAAAACCGAGTCCGTGAGGGGAAGAGGAACGAGATGGTGTGCGCCTCGCCTCGCGGCTGAGCCTCCCTCGCCAACGCTGCCTCGGCCGCTCGCGCCCGCTCTCCGGTCCCCTCGCGCCGCCCTCCGCCCAGGCCAATGAGCGTCGCGTACGAGCTGCTGTGGCGCCTGCTGCACGTCGTCCTCAGCGTCCAGCGCGCGCTGCTCGTCTGGTTCCGAGCGTGGTTCGGCGGGCGCGGTTCGTGGCTGAGCCGTTGGCCGTGGCGCGCGGCTTCGGCCGCCGTCACCGCCGCCTCGCGGGCGCTCTTGGTGCCGGCGGCCGCGGCGGCCGCCACGGGACCTTTCGCCTACCACAAGCCGGCGGCGGCGGGGCGGAAGGTGGCTGGCGGCGGGGCCCGCTGGCGGAGGGACGTGAAATCATTGCAGAAGCTGCCGAACCATGTGGGGCTGGTGGTGACCGAGGAGGAGCAGAGCTACGCGGACGTGGCCAGCCTGGTGGTGTGGTGCATGGCCGTGGGCATCTCCTACGTCAGCGTCTACGACCACGAAGGTCAGTTGGCTTCCGAGCCGCTCCCGTAACAGCCCCCCCGCGTTTTCGCTTTTTTCCTGCAGAGTACGTGACCTTGGCCTCCGCGAGGCCTCATCCCGAAGAGCGCCCTCGGCGGTGTTTCTTCTCAACACTACGCAAGCTTAATAGGGAGAGGAATCCCGTTGACACCAGTGGGGCATTCTTCTAGTAACCATGCCCTGGACTGTTCCGAAAGAGATTCGTCATCACCTCCAGGCACTCAGCAGATCTTGATCATGTTTATTTGGTACTCTGTATTGCTTGTTTCAGTCCCCACTGTGTTCAGAGGTGCATATTCCAAAGTACACCTGTGCATAGCATCCTTGCATCTTTATCATGGCATAAAGTTTTGAAGAATAGAGCCTGCTTCAATCAGTGCTATTAATAAAGCACTGTGTGGTCTGATTTTGACTGCAACAGGGTATATAAGCAATCACAATGGAATCAGACTTGGGTTAGTATCCATTGAAGTCAGGAAGAAAAAACATACATTTGGGAAATGAACATATTGGTCAAAAGGGTATATAATCCTGTGAAGCGGCAAGGATACTGATCAGAATGCAATAGCAACATACCAAGATGTTTAATCTTTTATTTACTCATGTGCATTCTCTGTTTTCAGCACCTATCTGTAGTATTTAGAAGGGCCCACTTAGATATATCTGAGAAAAGTGTAGGGAAAAGCTGAGCTTCATATATTTGGCATGTGTTAGCTAATTACTTTGGATAAACACAGCATTTTGTCTTTCCAAAAGAAAATTGGCCTAAGCTAAACGATGAAGGCTTGTTTACAATGGACTTTATTTCTGTAAAGCTAGGGTTAGATGTCATTGGATCAATATAAATATTTTTAAAACTTTTGTATTCTGCTTTTCCTCCTAAATTTGATACATTTTGTACTTTGTTCCTCTATAAGCCATTAGGATGAATTGTTATGCAAGTGAATATATGTAAATCCTTGTGAGTATCGTATTAACTGTGCATTGTAGAAAATGGGCATTAAGGATTCTTTCAAGAGTGGTCTCACTGCCTCACTGTTACAGCCTCTTCTCAAAGGCCAGAACTGAACAGTGGTGCTGTGTGCTTGTCCAGTTCATATATTAAAGGATGTTATGTTCGTGTTCATGGGAATCGGGTTTATCAATATATAGGGTATTTTCTGTCAGGGTTGAATGCTGACTTGGAATATAAGGAACTTATTTCCCCCTTAACACCCTTCCTTAACACCTTTCTGCTCATGTATTCTAGCAAATGGTATACATTGTGAGTGGCTGCTGAACTCTCTTCCTGCTGGTTTGGGATCTTATTCACCCTTCCTTCTCTTCTGTCCTACCCTGCCTCTTCTATTCTATTCATACTTTCCTGATTCTTTGTCATAGTTTCTTCCATGCATGTTTGTGAGTCCCCAGTATAAAAAGCAGAAACCTGCATGCTAGATAATTTTCTAGTATTTGTCCTTCCTGCTTCATTATATGTTGGCCAAACAGATCTCTCACAAAAACAAAGTCTCAGATAAGATATATACCTCACACTATAGGGAAGAAATAGGCAAGGTGGTCATGTATTTTGGTATGGTATATGAATATCTATTCTTTTTCAGTGAATATAATGCAAAAAATAGTGTTCATAGTGGTTAACATAAAATCTGGATCCATAACAAATTTTACTTATAGCATAAAACAAATAAATTGATTTTTTAAAATGCAACATTGAGGGCACAATCCTATGCATATTGAGGCAGGAAAAAGGCCTGTTATTTTTCTTAATTCATGGCAATAAAATCTAATAGTTACCAGAACAGACTAGAAAAATTAATTTTCTTCCGGTAAAAATTAAAGTCCTGTGTTTGATAGTTAGAGTTTAAACATTCATATCTAAGCAATATTTTGGAAGAGGTTTTGAGTCATCTTAGATATAGGGTTAACATTTATATCTGAATTATTTATTTATTTATAATTTTTGTATCCCATCCCATTGCAAGGGCCTCGGGACAGCTTACATACAATAAGTAATAAATACAAATAGTGCAAATTAAAATCCAGATTCACCCTGGCTGTAAATTAATAACCTATAGGTGATATTAAAAATTGTTAAAATATTGTTTAAAGAAAAAGGTCTTAGCCTGGCGCTGAAAAACAAATAACAACGGTGCCAGGTGGACCTCTCTGGGGAGTGCATTCCATAGGTGGGGTGCCACCACAGAGAAAGCCCTCCGGGTACTTAGCCTCCTAATGTCTTTCACGGAGGGTTCCCGGAGGAAGGCCTCTGCTGCTGATCTCAGGGGGTGGGAGGGCAAATATGGAAGAAGGCGTAAATGACTAATTAATTAAGATTAGTCATTTATCTAAGAGATGATCATTGCTTAAGAGTCATTATTAAGAGTTCAAGAATCATTTATCTTTATCCACCTTGACAGTAGGAGAGAGAAGCAGAATTGTCAATGGCTAATTATACATTTTATTTATTTTATTTTATTTATTAAAACATTTTTATGCCGCCCCATTCGCCGAAGCCTCGGGGCGGCTTACATGTGTCAAAGGAATTTAGTTTTTAAAAGCTTGAAAAGAAAGATCAACTTTGTATAATCCAGACAAGCTATTGTGGTTTATTTTAATCCCCAGTGCATGGGGACCATTGGGTAGGGCAAGGTTTTTGATGTTATGCAGATGTGGTCAGCATGGCTTTTGGAATGTGGGAATGGCCCTCAACTATGCTCCCAGTTTGAATAATCCATGATAGTTTGTTTGATCATGTGAACTGGCCCAAATTTTGCTTAATTTCTATCTTATAACTTTGATTCTTTTACAAAACTGATACAAGTTATTCCTTCTAGCTGAATCTTATTTGTTGGTCAATGATGAATACTACAAATTTCAGTCCTACTCCTATTAACTGTATTGCTGTGACAGATCCTATCATGCAAAATGTTTCTGGGAATTCTATTAGATGCACCTGTATTCAGATGGTGTTAGATTCCAAATCCTTTGAGCCCCAGCCAGCATGACCAGTTGAGAATGAGAGAAACTAGTTCAGCAACATATGAAGGGCCACAGGTTTACCATTCCAGGTTTATTGGTTTGTATCTGCTAAAAAAACAACAAAACCTCATGGTTCAACTGCACTACATTTCACTGTTCCTTAAACAATTCGTAAATATTTTAAATAGTGAATGTGTATGTGATACTGTGAGGTTACAAAGAAATAGAAACTAATCGTAGTTTAGGACTTCAGGTGCAGTAGTAGCCTCAGATATCTAATATGTATTTTTTTTTCTTTTGAGATATAAAATGTGAGGAGGGAAAAGCAATCAATTCTGTCAATATTTTGAACTTGATTTTTATAAACTCTTTGGAAGAAAAAGTCTGCAGCTACAGCAAATGATGAAATTGTGTGTAGGTTTAGTTTAATGTAATTTAATTTCTTTTATTAGTGTAAGCATGCTATTAAACCTCATATGACTATTTAGTCTCAAGCTGACAGGCTGATGTTTGTCATATTTTGAAGTGAATCATTGGAATTGTATGAAAAACAGAACCTTTTTTCCCACATTGTTGACAATGTTAAAGCCAAACATTACATTTCAGGCTGCTATATTGAAGCTTACATATTCAGTACTTTATTTGTATTCAAAAACTGTAAAATAAAATTCACTCTTGCAAGGGATTGTTATGGGTTATCTTAATCAGTTCCAACTAGAAAGATAAAGTTGACTTAGAAAACAGAGCTATGTACCGGTATTTTCCATTTATATCCACTCCTATGTATGACAAGTAACACAGAGTTGGTTGGCTCTGGTATGTTCAGTATGACTGTTCTTTTTAAACTTTGGCATAACTGAGAGGCAGCATTACATCTGTAGTTGCCATAGGGTTGAAAATCTCGAGGAGTTTGGGCTCTGAAGCTGTCAGCCGTTTGGCCTCTTCCCATCAGGGCTGCATAATTGCATTTGTGTGGCATTTTTAGATTACTCGAAGGTCATTGTGTCAGTGAAACACAAGTGTCTGCTGCTGTGATAATGCTGGATTATAGCATTGATTCACAGACACCTACTGCTATAACAAGGAAATTCTTTGTAGTCAGTTGTGCTAAGCTGGATTGCAGAGCAAACACATCTTTGTTCCTCTTAAATTGTATTGAACCTTCTTTTTAAGAGGGAACATAGTATCTTTAGATT